CCCAGCACAGCCCTTCCTTCTGCACCAGAAATCACATGGACCGCAACATGCACATAACACTGGAAAACAAACACCTTGCTCTCTGTTCTTGTAGATGAAATAGGAGATTCAGATTAAGTTAATCCAATTTTCTGAATAAAATAGGTTGCTTTTTTGGCAGGTAAAAATGTACACGTGGTCCAAATGGAAGTAAACAAGACCTGAGAGCCCTTTTTTCTGTGCAAAGCCACTTTCCCACAAAGTGTGCTCAGGTGATGACAGAAGGGCTATAAAGGAAGCCCCAGGGTGCTCATACCCACATTCTGGTTTCTGATCCAGCCATGGCAGTAACAAGCTTGCTGCAGTGCGTGGCCATCAGCTCGCTGCTCTATCTGGCAGCAGCGCTGGCCATTCTCCTTTACTTCACCACCAGCTGGAAGAAGAGAGTTTGCAATTTGCCTCCCGGGCCACAGCCTCTTCCTCTGATTGGAAACTTGAATGTGGTGGACCTGAAAAAGCCATTCCAGTCGCTGACAGAGGTAGGCTGGGAACAAGCAGGTAGGGGGAAAGTGTGCAATTCCCAAAGCAAAGAATGCAGCTAGGGAAATGGAGACAGAATTGTGTGCTGACAATGGGGAGATCCAGTCCTGCTACGCTCACCTGGGCAGACACAACAAGAGGACCTTGCAGGTGCTCAAATTCTGCAGTTAGTGATGGAAGAAGGACTTTTGGCCTCAAAATGCAGCTTTCCTACAGCACTCACACAGTGTCCATCAGCCTTGACTGATGATTCCCTCAGGCTTGTGCAGAGCAGTTTCCATGGCCGTACCACAGGTATGCCCATAGGAAAAGTCACCTGTTTCTGGCAGTCCTGGGGGATCCCATGATACAGATGTCTCTTGAAGGCACCAGATTCACTTTCCCTAAGCTGCCATCCAGCTTTAGGCTGTCAGATGTGCTGCATCCAATCCTTGTGCTGCTGAGTAAAACCAGGGCTGACACCAAGAAGTCCTAATGAGAAGAAATAACCAAAGGCAGGCCAGGAGGTGGCTGTGATGCCCTGCCCCAGACCTGCTGCATGCCTGTTCGCTGCTAGGGAGGCATGAACCAGCGCTCATGTTATCTCCCAAGCTGTCAAATGGTCATTTGATGAAAACAAATTTAATTTGTCTGGTGTAATAACAGGAGCTGCTTCTAATCTGAAATTCAATTTTCGGCATGCATCTAATGCATAGCAAATGGTAATTCAGGCACATCAGAAACAAGGAGACATTTGGAGCGGACAGCTCGCAGTGTTTAAACTAAAGCTAAAATACCAAGTGAGTGATTTGATTGTCAAAGCCACTCTTCTCTGTGACAGATGATTCATATTTAATTTCCTATAAAAGCCCAGTGCTCCTGTGACATTATCTACAAGGGAATGCTTCCTGGTTAGGCTGAAGTTTCTGGTGGCCAGCAAATAACTTTGCTATGACTGCAACACTACCCACCTTGCAATAATTAGGGACAAGTGCTATCCTGAAAGAGTTATTGTCTAGCTTTGTTTTTGTAGTGCTTGTGGCTTCAGCCCCAAAGTGGTGCGCACACCCGCTTGCCTCAGGTCAGTGGTATTAAAATAAACAGCCGCCTGCTACAGCATTTGCAAACAGCCTCCACACAGTAGTATTGCTATGCTGGCCTGTTGCTGCAGAGCACCACAGGAATGCAGTGCTTTTTTTATTGACTGCTCATCTGATAGGAGCAGCGATAGCAGACACCTTGTTGTGCAAACAGGGTGCAAGGAGAGATGCTGGCAGTGATAGCCGTTGCTCAGCAGTTACAGTACAGCAGCACCTGGAGACCTGGAGTAGGGTGGGAGGGTTGCTGTGGGCTGGAAGCTAGCGAGGGAGGCAGTGTTTGGACCCAGCTCTGGTTTGGAATGAATGTATTTATTCACTGTGACAGCTCTCCAAGCTATATGGCAATGTCTTCACCGTGCATTTCGGACCCAGGAAAGCTGTGGTGCTGGCTGGCTACGAAACCATCAAGGATGCCCTCTTAAATCATGCTGAAGAATTTGGAGAGAGAGCAGAAATACCCATATTTAGGAAAATGACACGAGGAAATGGTAAACAGCTTTTTTGTCATTGGTTTTTGTAGTTGATCTGAAGAGACAGCAAAGAACATCATCTTATGCCTGCCTTTTGTCTGTACCATCATGCAGAGTAGCTCTGTAACAAGGCCTTACATTTACTAACCACAGGTAGCATAAGGATTTGACACTTTCATTTTAGGCATAGCATTCAGCCACGGAGAGTTATGGAAAACTATGAGAAGATTCACCTTGTCCACACTGAGAGATTTCGGAATGGGAAGGAGAACGATTGAGGTCCAAATCCTCGAGGAACTGAATTCTCTAATTAAATATTTTGAATCTTATCAAGGTGAGTGTCAAGAATTTCATCCAGAGACAGAAAACGTGTCTAGCAGAACAATAAAGATTCACAAAAGTTTAACACTGAGTGAGTGGTATCTGATGGTTAAAGTTCAGCATGTGCGTAGGTAGGTTATTAAATGGAGGCCTAAAGACATTGAAACCAGATTCCCTACTGCATTCTGGGTGGTAAAATAGTTTTTTTCTGAGGGAGCTTGGGACCACATTTCCCCAAAACCTGACCAAATCTCTGTCCTTTTCCCATGCCTTGAATGTGGCATTTTGCACAGCATTCCCTGATAATATCTAAGGCCAGCCAGCTGCTCCCCTGCATCACAGGGCAAAATGGGCATCATCCCATCATCATTTGTTTGCATTGCCTGAACTACAGGGAAACCATTTGACACGAAGATGATCCTCAACAATGCTGTATCCAACGTCATCTGCTCTATTCTGTTTGGAGAGAGGTTTGAATATGATGATCCAGCATTTCTCACTTTGCTGAAGCTGTTAAATGAGAATACCAAGCTGCTGGGCTCTCCGATGGTGCTGGTAAGGGCTTGATTTTAAGTCTTAGCTTTTAGGGGCATGTCTGATTGATGGTGTTTGTCCTCGTGGCTTCCCACACCTTGCTTCTCGAGGGGAGAACAAGAACACCACCAGCAGCCTGTGCTGGACACACTGCAGCTCTGTATCCACAGCACATAGATTCCCTGGCCCCTGGGCTCCTTCTCTGCTGCTTATCAGTAAGAGAAAGAAAAACAACCTTCACCAAAGGAACTAATTCACTCCCTTTCAAGAGGAGAAGCACAATGCATCTCTCACATCAGAGACTGGCACTAAAATGCCCTCTCAAGCGTGCCTCCAGAACTGAAACTGTTTTGGGGGTCTCCTTGCAGAAGTGTCCACTTCTCATGGAAGGCTGGAGGCAAAACCAGACTTGCTGCAAACACCATGCCTGTATGACACACTGCAGTGCTGAGCTCAGGGCAGCTCACATTTGTGATACCTGTATATGTTCAAAACACCAACTAACAGGCTTCCGTTGCTCCACAGTTGTATAACTTCTACCCATCCCTTGGATTTCTCTTTGGAGCTTCCAAGACCGTGCTACAAAATATCAGGGAGCTGAGTGCTTTCCTCCAGAAACTCTTCAAGGAGCACAAAGAAGAATTTAATGAGAATAACTTAACAGGCTTCGTTGATGCCTTCATGATGAAGCAACAACAGGTACTTCAAAGCTAAGTCTGGGATTCTCTTGGCTCTGGCTCATTATTAGGACTGATCATCTGTCAGGGATGGAGGGTGAGTAAAAACAGAACTGCACTGAGCAGAACATGTTGAAGCTCATCCTCATGATGAGCAGTGCTGTATCATCCCATCACTCCATCACTCTGCTGGAACTGCTGGTTGGGGTTGTGCTGAAATTAGCTGCCACCCAACACATGTAGGGAAAAGACTATTCACAACCTCCCTGCAAGAATAATGTGGTGGCAAACCTCACTGCAGTAACTGAGTTCTTATAGACCCAGTATCAGGATTTGGAGGCTGGATATACACAAATTCTATACAGTGTAAGTCCTAATATTAAAACCTTCTATTGCCTTCTAAATATTTTGTTTCCCACAGCATGTCAATCACAAAAACCTAAGATGCAGACAAAGATGGTGGCAATGTAGTCACTACTGGTATCACTTGCTACAGAACTTACAGCTGTTGCCTGTTTGTTTTGAAGGAGTCAAAGAAACCCCACAGTATGTTCCACAATGAAAGCCTGCTGTTTTCAACCCTGGATCTCTTTGCTGCTGGGACTGAGACTACTTCTACAACCATGCGCTGGGGTCTCCTTCTGATGATGAAATACCCAGAAATTCAGAGTAAGGCTGAGAATTCCTCTTGTATGATATTCTGTTGCATGCATAAGGCTCGGATTATGGAAGGGAGTGGAACTCATTCAGCACTATTTAGGGTAATTATTGTGAGTTCTCTGAGAGAGATAACAACCACTGACTTTACACAGGGGTTTTATTCAGATGGATTGCAATAAAGCAGCCCAGCCTGGTGGGAGAGGCCGAGAGGCAGCCTGAAGGGACAGGAGGTCTCCCACCGTTGTTCTCCTGCAGGCTATCAGCATATGTCACTAAAGGTTTCCCATCTCCTGGGGAGCTGCTCCCGATCTGGTTTCCATTGAAGGCCATGGGGTAACAAAGGTGTGCAGTCAGAGCCAGGCATGGGACGTCCTGTCGTGCTCCATTCAAGCTCCCGTGGCTCGAGAGTAAAACTGAAAGAACCACACCATGCCCTGCCTTACCACCCCCTCCTGTTCTTCCCAACCGCCCCCCAAAGTTTTCCCTTTTCTTCATCATGGCCAAACTGAAGGCTACTTCAGTTGTAAGATGAGAGGAGTATCAACTTCTTAATCCTTTCCTCCCCACAAGGAAAAATTCAGGAAGAAATGAACCAGGTGATTGAGCCGGGGGAGATGCCGAAGCTGGAGGACCGGAAAAGGATGCCTTACACAGAGGCCGTGATACACGAAGTACAAAGATTCGCCAACATCGTCCCGATGGGGGTGTCACGATCGACACCTACAGATGTGAATTTCCAAGGTTATGTGATTCCTAAGGTGAGCTCTGGGACCAGCAGCTTACACTGCACCAATTCATTACCGTGTTATCTAAAGCTGATAAGAAATATCTACATATCTAGAGACGCCTTGATGCTCGGTTTAATCCACCGTGTAATTCTTTGACTTGGATGCAGAACAATTGTTAAAAACATGTGGTGATTGTAGAATGTTGCAGCCACTTGAATCCAGAATAACCAGACTTTAATGAAGTCACATTGGTTTGATTCTATTATGCCCAAAGTGAAATCTATACTTCAGTAGACTTCTCCAAAGATCTGTCTGAATCTGCAAGAATTCTTTCATGGTGCAAAAGCAGAGCAGCAACTACTGATAACAGGCAAAGCCACAGTGGGGCCAGGAAGCATCCTCTGGTTCTGTTTGCCACGGCTCAGTCTCATTTGTTTCTTCACATGGGAAAAAAAAGAAAGCTATCCCAGCTTCCTTCTGCTCCAAACAGCTGCTTCTTTGATCCCTTGCAGGGTACAGAGATTATACCGCTGCTGACCTCTGCTCTAAATGACGAGCTGCACTGGAAAACCCCGCATCAGTTCAACCCTTCCCACTTCCTGGATGCTGATGGGAACTTTGCTAGGAGAGAGGCATTTATTCCATTCTCCATAGGTGAGAGGGGTAATTTGTGCCCGTCCTGGGGCTAGGCTAACAGCACCGTGCCCACTGACCCCAGGGAAGTATGTAAGTGAAGGACACTGATAAGGCAGGATAAGAGGTTTCTGGACATTGGTCCTGTCCACCACTGCTACAACCTGCTGCTCCTTGGGAGATCTGGCAGACGCTTATTTACCCCCAGGCACTGGATGATCTCACACACCCGCAGGCTTCCAGGCAACTTGACACTAAGTCAGCAGTACCCCCCTCCCCAGTATACAGAGAAAAGAAAGGAAAAGCTTCCTACCTCAGCTGCACAGACTGCGTGTCCAGTTTAGAAGGTCTCAGATGCCATCACCAACAGTTCCACTGCTTAACATTTACTTCTCTCCTGCTTGTTTTCAGGACGAAGGGCTTGTGTTGGAGAAGGCCTGGCCAAAATGGAGCTGTTCCTCTTCTTCGCAGGCTTGCTCCGCAAATTTGTTTTCCAGCCCCCTCCAGGGGTGAACAAAGCAGAGCTGGATCTCACTGCTGACGTCGGCTTCACCCTGAACCCCATGCCTCACCTGGTCTGTGCTGTGCCCTGCAAGTGATCAGACAACATGGAGGTTGTGTAGTGGGCACTTCAAGCTTGAATGCCAGTCTAGCTACAGGGGGAAAAGCTGTCTGCCTGAGCTTTAGGGAAAGGGCACTGGGTTCTGCTGTTTGTCTTTTGTTCGTATGATCCTTTCCAGGAGATCTTGTACCCTCTGTACGATGCAAACCCTTCAGTCACCTCTGAGCACTGCTCCCACGTTCAGCACGACCCACCCCTGAATACCAGAGATGCAGTTTTCAGGGCTATTTCAAAGAATGACTTAGTTTTGAGCCTCCTCTACAAACAACTCACCTGGGGCTCTCCACTGAGAGCCTCTATGGGGAGTTTCTCAGCCTGAATCCCAACTGTATAGCAGAGCTGGTTATCGATGGCCCAGCTGGAGACAACAGACCCTTAGAAGTCTCCCTGAGATGACTGTTGAGCTGAGCCTTGGACTGAGCTGCCATTGTGCAGCACAGCCTTATCTTTATCACAGCGTCGCAGACACTCGGGTGTGACACGGGCTGATGCCAAGAGCCAGGCATGGGTCACTTATCAGGAAATTGCTAAGTGCTTTGGAAAGTGAGCTCACTCCGATTGCACTGGATGTTTCATACTGAAGAGCCTATTTACTAGGGGGCCAGCCTCACAGTAAGGAAGGCATTTCTCCCATTCCCTTGCCCCTCCTGGCTTTGACTCGTGTCCAGTCACACTCTAGAACAGCTCTGACCCTACACTGGCAGAAACTAAGCAGCCACAGAAAGTGAGTGGTTTCTGAACCAGCACACGTGATGCTGCACACAAGCCTGAGGCAGTGCTGTGGTCACCTGCATGGGAATGGTGTTACAAACACAGAGCTGAAAATGCTCACACTGCCAGCAAAAACCCTGCAGTGCTGACACAATCCATAGGATTTTTCCCATAGCCACTAAAAACTGTAAAACTGGAAAGAGAGGTGGGCAAGAGCTTACTACCCAGCCTATTACTGTGCCATGAGCTTGGTGCATGGGGTCTGTGCACAGAGCTGGTGTCAGCAAAGAGGGAAGCCTTCCTAGGGCAGCTGCTTGGTTAGAACAGTTAATGATTATCTTCTGGAGCAGCCATTATGTGTAGGAACAAGGAGCTGTGCTGCAGAAGGAAGGTGGGAAACCTGAATGATGGTGCGGGGAAGAGAGGAGGCTTCGTCTGTTAACACAGGCAGGAAACCAGATGAGGGTTAGAGAGTGGTGAGTCACTGAAGATGCTTTGTGTTGCTTTGGAAGCACGAAATGCAAGTCAGGATGGAAAGAAAAAAGGGAGAGACTGACAGTTACAGAGATTGAGGGGGTGGCTGGGGCAAGTCTAGCACAAAATGTTGCATCTAAACCTGATCTGTGCTACAAGTGGAAGGAAAGAAAGGAGCAAGAGAGTACGAAGAGATGACAAAGCAGTCACTCTTTGTTCAGCCAAGGCTCTGACTCTTTGCAGCTTTAGTTCACAACTAAGGGCAGCACTCTGATAGCTGTGCTTTGTCCCAGTATTGCACTTGAGCGTTCCCTGTGCTTGTACTGGGGCTGCACTTTCACTTGTGCTGTGCCTTGAGGCCAGCTCCAGCTTCCCATCCAGCTCAAGGAATCTGCTGAACAAGCTGTGTAACAAGAATGCCTTTGCTGCTACGCTTGCTTACATTCATTTTGCTGCTGCTTTGTTTGCAGTCTAACTACTGCAAGTTTGACCTTAGCTCCTACTTAACAAATAAATATTTTGCTCTGTTGCTGTTTATCTATGCGGCATTGCAGGATAAAGTAGATTTAGGGTCAAACTGATAAAGCTGGGCTGCACCTCCTTTTGTACGCCCACAGGAGCGCAGGGATCCCTGGGCAACACGCGGCCAGAACATGTTTAACAATACAAAGTGTGAGCAATGCCCCGAGCCACAAACAGCTCCAAGGAAACCAGGCTGTTTCTAGAAAGTCGCAACCATAAAGGCTTCTTCACTGCTTCAATCGTCCCTTCAAAAGTGTCTCTTTTCCTAAGCATTTGCACAGTCCACAAGTTGATGCCATTTATAAGGGAAGAATTTTCAGAGCTGATTATCTGGTGAATTGGAGTCCTCCCAGACCTACGAGATGCTGAAGATGCCATGCCAGGCGTTTTCTTGCGTTGGTCCCAAGGATACAGACAAGTAGTTGAGGTGTCTTTGAGTTCTGGCTATCATATTTCTAAAAGGATTTACTTGCAGAGAATTTAGGATAGGAGGAAGTGAAAACAGTGATGGAGAAGAAAAACCCTCCACATGGACACTGGCACGAAAGATGTGTCTGTTTGCCTTAACGAGGAGATGGAGAAGGGAGGAAGGAAGGGCAGGCCCACGCAGTGTCCCAGAGGTGATTGGAGTCATCTGCTGCCGTCAACCTTTCCTCATCGCAGAGGGAAAATAGAAAATTAAAGTGAATGGCAACACATTTAAGCTAATAAAGGAAACAGATTTTTTCTGCCCGTTAAAAACTCAAACAGCGCAGAAAGGATACAGCTCCGTGTTCTTCAAGGTAAACGCCAGGTAGGGAAGGAATACGAAGGCTCACCTGGAGCCCGCGCGGTGCCGCTGCGTGGCAGGGCTCTGTGCTGGGATCTGTGCTGGGTGCCGGGCAGGGCAGCACGTAGCAGCGTGGCTCCGGAGCAGAACACGTACCAGACGGGTTGTTGAGACAGGAATTTCTTGTCATCACAACAGCTTGACTTACCTTTGTCATCTTAATGCATTGCACTCAGAGCTTGGTAGGTTTAAGAAAACCCGACGCGCTCCCCCCCCCTCCTGGCCTTTCAGACATAATTTAAATCTCTCTCCGAAAGGCTTTTTTTCTTATTTTGGCGGCTCCCAGGGCAGGATGACATACCAGGAGCACGGCAGTGGCACGTAGCTCTCCGGTCAGAGCACACAGGAGCACACGCAGAGCACAGCGCTGTGCCCCCGCTCTGCACCCTGTGCCACCCCGGCCCCGCTCTCCTGCTTCGCACCCCTGCTGCTCTGTGCTGGCTGCAGCAGGGCTGAGTCACACAAGGCACGCTCTAAAGAAAACCGTCGCCTCCAGCCCATTTCTTGGAAACTAATAAAAAAATCCCAGAAATGTTGCAACACATTCGCTGCTTCTGCCGCACCGCCACATCTCTGCAGCACCAGGGCTGCCCCAGGAGCACGCTGTGCCCCCTGCACACCAGGCCTGCTGCCTTCACAGCCCTCTTTGCTCTCACAGTGCTGAGGACACACTGCCGAATAACATCCCCTCCACAATCAAAGCTTTGGATAAAAGGAGCTTTGTGCTTCCTGATCGCATCACGACAGACCTTTCTTCCCTGAGCAAATGTATTCCATGGACGGTTTATTTCCAGCATCGCTCTGACAGCCACGGCTCAGTCTGACAGACGTCAGTCCCTTCTGCAGGGGATGGGAACCTCCAGGAGGAACGCATGCTCCAGGTGTTTCATACCTTTGACTCACAATAGTTCCATTCTCCATCATGCTCAGGTTCTGCAGCTCTCCAGCTCAGCGAGCTTCATTAACTTCATTAATTTATCCCCTCTGTCTCTTAGAAGCTGCTCTTTCCAAATGAGGAACCCCCCAGCAACTTCAGATCCAATTTTGCCTTCCCATTTAATTTACACACAATCCACTCACGATCACTTGACCTGTGCTAATTTTCCATGGCCAGCTCCTACATGTCCTGCACACCTCAGAAGTCTGCAATCCCATCCCCTCTGGGCACTCCGCAGCCACTCTGTGAGCTCAACGGGCTGCAGCACCCCGGGATACAGGGCCATTACCATCATTAACAACCTTTGATCTCCACTTGACACAGACCAAGTCAAAGCCTTCCCTAACCGCTTCTCTCCTTAGCAGCCCCAACATCCCAAGCCCCATCCAAACCCAAAGCTGGGGGTTTCCTATAGCGCTCAGAGGAACCTTTCCATTCCCCCGTGTCAGCAGCGTTCGGAGGGTCACAGCACTGCCAGTGAGGGACCTGGAGGTCTCGGGCGGAGGAGGCAATAGAGGAATGCCAAGCACCTTTTCCCATGTATATGTTCTTGCACACACATGCATGGGTTTGTAATTTGAAACTCTCTTTACTTCTGGACAGGCTTTGCAAACTGCTTAGACCACATTCTCTGAGGTGTTTAAAGAGGGTGGAGTATGCAGTATTTATTTAGGTACTCTACAAACCTTAATAAGAATCGAGTGCTTGTAGCGATCGCAGAGAACAAACAGAGAGCCAGCTGGCAGGAGCCGAGCGCTGCCGCTGCGCTTTGATTGCTTCTAACACCAAAAACCAGAGTAGTACTTAAAAAAAAAATGGCTTTCTTAATTTCTTTTATCTCCGATCCTGTGTTAATGGGTCTGCTGTGTGCAGCAGTGCTGTTAGCTGCACTCTATTTTTCAACCGGCTCTAAAAACGCAGCGTTTAAATTGCCTCCTGGTCCAACTCCTCTTCCGATCATTGGTAACCTGCACTTGGTGGACATCAGAAGGCAAGATAAGTCACTAATGAAGGTAGGACAAAAAACCCAAACCTGGATCCTCGTGCATTTTAAAGCTGCCTGGGCTATATCAGTGCTGATTTTTTGTCTTTTTGAATTTGAACTCGATAGTAAAGGTGTGGAAACTGCTTTATAATATTTTCTTTCTGGTCTTCTTCAAGCCAATGTCTGTGTTGGTGCAGTGTCATTTATGAGCAATCAACCGTTAAGAAAAACACCTCTGGGTAATATGAGATTTCTCCATGTAATTGCGATGATGTACATGAAGTCTGCAGCACTTGTGGGACTTTAAATATTAATTTGACAGCTCTGACACCCAGAAAATGCGGACAGCATTAGGAAAGAACTAGCGTGAATGGAAACCACTTCCCTCCCTGCGTTCTAGAGAAGCGGTGGGGGAATGTCGTGATGCAGAGACCCCAAATCCAGATGTCCCACTGCAAAGCCTATTTCCCTCGGAATGAAAGGGATTTGCATTAAAATCCAGATAGCAGCAGAAGGGCGGGATGGGAAGACTGAGCTGAGGAACCAGAAAGGAGAAGCCTGGAAGCTCTTCCATTGGTTTGCAATCAGAACGGCTTACTCCACTCATGCTGGAACCGTATGATGGTGCCAGGCACAGCTGGCACAGCCAGCACTGCGGATCGCTCCCTCCTCGAGTGGGGCTCCATCGCTCCAGTGCTGGCTGAATGCAGGCAGCTGCCGGGTGTGCAGTTGGGCTGAGGCTGCATTGCTGCTCTGCCTTTTGGGCAGTGCAGCTCTGGGGCAGCTCACCCAGTGTGCTGGGCACAGGTTTGCCTTCAAACTGAGTTTCTGACTGACCTCTGCGTGCTCTCACTGCCTGCTCCATTGTATTTACAGTCACCTATATTTGATTTTAATTTGGGATTAATCCAGAGGGGTTATCCCTGTTCCTCACCCCACAGATTAACACCAAAGCAGTGTCTGCATTGCAGTATAGCTGGCTGGGCACACTGGTGGGGTGCTGCTGGGCAGGTCGGGATGCACTCTTTCCTCTGCGTGGGCTGAGGCTGCACCATGTGGGCTGAGGCTGTGCATGCAGCTGGGCAGCACCTGGGGCCGCTCACTGCCCTCCTTCAGCCATTGCAGACCCTTCTCTGCAGCTGTTGTTGCTCCAATCCCTTGATCTAGCAGGAGCAGGAGCACGGGAGAGGAGCAAGGTCTGTCCCATATAACAGCCACTATTTGCACTATTCTGGTCTTTCTCTGGTTGGCCAACCTGCACCGCCATCTGAAGTCCAATGTAACTCCACATGTTGCACTTATGTTTTTTTTCACTTTCTCCTTAACAAAGAGATCAGATTAGCAATGCACTGACAGGGGGTGGGCAATAAACCTGAGCACCCCTCCGCTCACCCATGCAGAGCATCCCACGCTCAGCCCCGGGGAGTGCTGACTGAGGGACTTTCCCTCATTGCTGACCATCACAGCTTACCTCTCTTTCAGCTTGCGGAAGAATACGGCCCGGTCTTCACCCTCCATTTTGGCTTCCAGAAAGTTGTGGTCCTGACCGGGTACGAAGTTGTGCGGGAGGCGCTTGTGAACTACACAGAGGAGTTTGTAGACAGACCATCCATCCCAATATTTGACCAAATTCAGAATGGAAACGGTACTAGAGCAATGAGGGGGGGTGGGAGGGACGGTGCCGCTCAGTGCCAGTGTGGCGCTGCTCCCAGCAGCCCAGCTTTGAAAAGCTCCTTGGATCCTCCCTACACCGATGGCATTCCCTCACTTTCATGCAATGCATTTCCACTGTCATTATGTTTTGGTCGTGCACTTGCAGTCAACCCTTATCCTCTCGTTGGAGGGTGAGGAGTGGGGTTTTTAAAAGCACAGGTTTGCCCTTTCATCCCGATGCCTGGCATCCATTATTGGATACAGTCAGTCCCCAGCATCTTGTCTCCCTCCACCAAAGCTCTCAGGTTGGATGTGTATTCTGTTCAGCAATGGGCTGAGGCTGGAAATTCTTTCCCCAGACATCCCTGTGGTTTTCCCAAGGACATCAGAGGACATCCTGCCTTGTTCCTCCGGCCAGGCTCTGGTGTGAGCAGCCAAAAGGCAGCCCTGTATGACGGTCACAGGCCAGAGTTGGGATTACAATTAGAAATTAAATTACCCAGCCACAATATCAAAAGACGAATTTGTCACTACACAGGGAAAAGGGATTGATGGGGGAAAAGCATCATTCAGAGCTAATTTACACATAAAATATCCCTGTGGGAGGCTGCCAGTATTGCTCTATCAGTCCTTTCTCTGTTATCTTCTCAACCCAAGTCGGAATTGCTCAGAGGTGACCCAAAGCCATAAATTCACACAGGCTGTAGGTAGCAAGGGTCACAGATTTTCCGAAGAATCACTTTTTCTCTCCACCCTAAAGTGGGGGTGTTTTTAGTGTTATTGGGAATCTCAAAAACCAGTGGAGCGCTGACTGGGATCGAGGAGGGTGAATCATCCCATCCCACAAAGATAAAAGATCTTTATGATCGGAATAGAACAAAGAGGGAAGCTTCAAAGAGACAAGGCTGTTGCTTGAGGCCCCACCTTGCAACCAAACAGGGTCAGAGAGTTTGCACGGCTGACTCAGACCGGCTCCCCCCCAGCTGTGGGTCTGACAGCCCTCCCCCCACCCCACGGCCAGCAGGCTCAGTGTGACCAGGAGAGCTGAGCTGAGAGGGTGCGGGGCCGGGGCACAGAGAAATGGGGGACCCCAGTTCCCCAAAGCCACGGGAACTGGGCGGCAGAAGCTTGGGGAGCTCCCTCCTCGCCCGGCCCCATAACTCGCTTGGTGTGCTGTGCCTGCCCCAGGTGTGTTCTTCTCCATCGGCGACCTGTGGAGAACAACGCGCAGGTTCACCGTCTCCAGCATGCGCAACCTCGGCATGGGGAAGCAGATGATGGAGGGGAAGGTTTGTGAGGAGCTTCACTTCCTCATTGAGAAGATCAAATCCTTCAAAGGTGAGCCGGAGCCCACCGGGGTGCTCTGCAGCATCCACGTCCCTCTGACGCTGCTCTCCTCCTCCCATTGCAGGGGAACCTTTCAGCCTGAGGTCCTTCAGCATCGCTCCGATCAACATCACCTTCCTCATGCTCTTTGGGGACAGGTTTGACTATAAGGACCCAACATTTCTCACTCTCCTAAGACTCATAGATGAAGTTATGGTTCTTCTGGGATCTCCATACTTGAATGTAAGTAACCTGTCCAATGGTTAGCATTTTTTCCTGACCAGTCTGTCGCTGGTGGAGAGGCAGTTTCCACTGAACAGTAAAAAAGCTTAAAAGTGAGTTGTACTGCATAAAGGCTAAAACGTTGCAAAGCCCATCCGTGTGAAAATGAGCCTGAGCCCTACAGAACTCCCTGGGATGCACAGATATTACTACAGACAAAACTCACCTCATCTGTCGTGCCTTAGGAAGAAGCCATTTCAGCATGTTGATTCTCCTGCACACCTAACGCTTCTTTTTTTTTATTTCTTATTAGTATTTCAATTTCTACCCATTCCTTGGATTTCTTTTCAAAACTCACAAGATTTTGCTAAAGAAAATAGAAGATGTGCGTGCTATTATAAGGCAATACATGAAGGCAAGCAGGGAAGATATCAATGAGAACAGTGTGAGGAGCTACACTGATGCATTGGTATTCAAGCAGCACGAGGTATGGGTCTGCTTGGGCTCTGCTGGCTGTTTGTGATGTCTCCTTTGGCTTTTCTAGCTAAAAGAGTTGTGGATCTGGATTTCAGTCCTATCATGTAACCCTACTGAAATTAATGCTATTGTTCTAGTGGCACTGAAATCAGATTCCAGTCTTGTATGGTTGGTGTACTTTACTGCAGGGATTTTTCTATCAAAGTTGAGATGTGGAAGCCATTCTCTCAATCCATCCCCCAAACAGCAGTGCTAATAATGTGACATGAAGTCCTTGTTTGTAGTAGAAAATGCATGAACTCACATGCAAGCTGACTGTGCTTTTCTTTGTATGACAACAAATCAATTAATCACCGATACTGTTGCTCCAAGATGAATGATACACTTAAAGAACTGGAATGATAAATGGTCAGTACATCTGCGAGCCTAGCCCTGCATCTTACTTCAGTAGAGACTGCAATTTCACACATCAGTTGATTTCATTCCACACAAAGTATTTACGCTCTGAATCTTTTCTTCTTTCCCACTGGATCTGGGCCAACGTGAGGCATTAGTCTTCTTCCCATCACTGTGGAGGAAGGTTCAGTGCAGACTGCTACGGCCCAGGAGAAGTGATATCAGGCCATTTACCACACTGTTCTCAAACACACGATCATACCCAACAGCCTTCTGGGTTACAGAGCATTTCCCAAACTTGCTGAATACTAACACTATTTTAAGAGCTTTCTCACACTTGTTCTTTTCAAGGAGAAAAACAAGAAAGACAGCCTCTTCCATGATGACAACTTAATTGCATCCATACTTGACCTGGTCATGGCGGGCACAGAGACCACGGCCACCACGCTGCAGTGGGCCATCCTGCTGATGATGAAGTACCCTGAGATCCAAAGTGAGCTCCTGGTGTTTTAAGATTCCTCTTCCTCCAGACCCTGGAAAAACACATATTTTACCAAAATCAAATCTGCAGGGGGAGTTGATTTCCTCGCTGGGATACATCCCCGTTCTTTGTTCCTTCCAGAAAAGGTGCAGGAGGAGATTGGAAGAACTGTCAAAGCTGGCAGCTGGGCCACGTACGAGGACCGCAAGAAGATGCCATTCACAAACGCAGTGATCCACGAAGTGCAGAGGTTCATCACCCTCCTGCCCCACGTTCCCCGCTGCACTGCTGTGGACACCCACTTCAGGGGATACTTCCTTCCCAAGGTGGGTACGGCCCAGCCCAGGGCACACGGCGCTCCTCTTGTTGCCAGTGGCACTGCAGGCAGCTTCTTTAGAGGGACAAATGTCCAGAATTACCCCAGAAGAGTTCCTTCCTTTCCAATGACTGTGCTGAGCCCAGAGAGACCGGTACTGGGGAACTCGATTCAGGCCCTCATGCTCAGCACTTCCACACTCCAAGAGTGACCCTGGTTAACCTCTGATGCCATCTGCCCAGTGAAGTATTTGCCTGGGAATGCTCAGGATCTGACCCTCTGCCTCAGGTCCTCACCGTGCCACGTGGCATTTGGCTTCAGTGCTTGGCACGGCTGGGAAAATCTCCCTGTTGGTGGAGGGGATGAAATCCTCAGGGTCTCCGCCTGCCCCACTCGAAGCAATAACAAAACCACGTCACAAAATAAAGCAACACAGAGCAATAAATCCTGCCTTTCTGCCCAGCCAAGAATCTTCCTGGCACAGCAATATTTAGAGTTGGAGTGAGACGTTTTGGTAAACCCACTGTAGACAGGAGCTCCTCCTCATCCCCAGCCCCTTCCCCACACCCCTCACCCAGGACCCTTGGTGCTGCACCACAGGCACCCCTGGGCCTTGCTATTTCTTGTGTCTTCTCCCAGGGCATAATTGTCATCCCATCGCTCACCTCGGTGCTGCTGGATAAGACGCAGTGGGAGACACCACACCAGTTCAACCCCAACCACTTCCTTGATGCTGAAGGGAATTTTGTCAAGAGGGAGGCTTTCCTGCCCTTCTCCACAGGTACCCAAAGGCCTCGGCCACACCGAGGGGTCCTCATGGCTAATTACTGCCTCTCATTTGGATAACAAGCTCAACAGCTGGCTCCCAAAGATCCAGCTGGGGAAAGGACTTTTCTAGGAAGAAGGACAGCCCTGTGGTCGGGGGGGTGGTAGGGCACTGGCAAAGCAACATTTAGAGTTGGAGTGAGACATTTTGGTAAACCCCCTGTGACAGGACTTCTCCAGCTTGATACTGCCGTCAAGTAAGCACGCTGCTTCCATCCGCAGGGCGAAGGAACTGCATCGGAGAAAGCCTCGCCAAGATGGAGCTGTTTGTCTTCTTTGTCGGGCTGCTGCAGACATTCACTTTCCAACCTCAGCCGGGAGTTTCAGAGGCTGACCTGGACCTGACCGTCCCCGAAACGACTTTCACATTAAGGCCTCGGCCCCAGGCGACCCGTGCCGTCCCGCGCGAATAGGCAGCGCTGCTGCGGGGCGGCCAGGCGGGGCCAACACCAAGGCCCATCTCAGCTGTGCTAGGGCTCATCGCCCCGTCCCAACGTGCCACGCTCTGTCGTATTTCCCTCCCGCTGTCTCTGTCCACTCCCACCCCTACATCTCCCCATAGGTCGCTGACCTGCTCTTTGCTCCCTTGCTGTGGGGAATGCAGGCAGATCAATGAGAAAGCACAATCCTGGTGACCCTCCCAGAGAGGGACACCGAGCAGCTGAAGGACCAGGGGGTGTGTGTCCATGACATGTAGGTGTGACATGCACACTTCAACGCCAAAGAAGTAAGGCTCACAACACTGCAGAAATCTGCCCAAAATTCCCACTCAAGACACACCAACGTTCACTGGGAGCTGAAATACGCTGTAGGTGCTTCTTGAGCCAAGCTCTCCTATTAGCCAGAGCTTCCAGCAAAATCCCACCGGGGCAGGCAGCCAAGACAAGCACTGAGAGTGCAAAACC